GATGGGCGGGAAAGGAGGGTAAAACCGTTGGGATTAATTAATTAATTATTTTTTCTAACAAAAACTATGTAGGTAAAAACTTTAAACTTTGTACAAAAATAAGGAAAATTCGACAAAGTGTCATCCAAATTTTGAGCTTTTTAATTAGATTTCTTAGAAACGTTCAAATTACCCGTTCAATTTTAGTAGGATAAAGTGCAAGAAATTTTATTTTCATACAAAAAAATAGTCTAACATACATAGGTACTTTGTATGGAAGAAAATGCGTGAACAAAAAATTGCCAAAAATCAACCGCAATTCCTAGCTACTTTAAACTTGCACTTTATTCCATCAAAATTTAATGGTAAAAACATTAAAATTTTGGTGAGCATTTGTTAAAATTCGTCGAATTTTTATAAATGTTTTACAAAGCTTGAAATTTAGATATACATGGTTTGTTTTAGATGGTAAGCTATATTTTCATTAAAAAATAATAAACATTTTTGAAACAAAGAAAAATAGCCAAAACTTGCTAAAATGTCTCTTCCCTATTTACATTTTAGCCACCGTACATACTATCTATGTATGTGTGCTCGTTTCACAGCCCCTCTGTTATTTAGTTGCTCACCCATATGCATAAGTACATATTATGTATGTACATTAGGGTCTGGCCGAAGGTTCGGCCTGGCTTCGGTATTCGGCTTCTTCGGCTGATATTTTATCTTCGGCTTCGGCCTTCGGCAATACTGAACAATTATGCGATCCACAAGGTTCCTTTACCATTATGGAAAGGCTTAGAGCAAAAACTGGCGATTAATATGTTTGCTGTTAAGAGTTGCTCTATAAATACACTGACTACGGATGAGTGGGCATATATAACTTAAGTTGGCCTATTTTGAAATTATTTTTTAATGCTACACTTAAAATTTGTTCTGATGAACCATGTATATATATAGTACCCAGTAGCCAAGGTTTAAGAAAAAATTACAAACTGCCGAAACAGACGAGTGTGTAGTATCCGATTTGAAGGATACAATGTTCATCAATGATCATTGCATCGCCGCTTTAATAATTTAAAATATATGGTTCCCACTTTATCGATCCAAGATTCAAAAGAGAATATTTTATCGCAGATGAATTGGAACAATGTAAAAGAAAACATTTTTAAATTTTCGTAACACTTGATAATGAAGACACTTTTGATGAAGAAATTGTGATATCGGTTCCTAGTAACCTCCGGGAATCCCGTAATAAATATGCAAAGTTGAAATAGACGTATATTTAGATCAACCTCTTGTTCTTCGTTGTTTTAATATATTCTATTATTGGTTATCTTCCAATTTAGTTTTAATTCAAAAAAGGTTGCGAAAAAGTATTTAACTGCGCCACCAACGAGTGTGGCTAGCGAGTAACTATTTAGTACAGCTGATCAGCTGTACACCGATAGGCGATCAAATCTCTTAGGAGCAAATGCAGACAGGCTCGTTTTTTGGCATATAACATACCGCTTTTTAATTTCGAGTATTGATTTTATGAAAGTTATTCAAGCCTTTAAAATGCTTTTAACGTTAAGACTGCACTTTTTTGCCTTCTTTGTTTTGGTTTCCAACTATGTGTGTATGTTTGTAAGTTGTTCCTTTTATTAAAAACAAAAATAATGATAAAAATAATTTATTACGAATTAAAAAATCACAGACTTATTATTTTTGAAATGTAGAACTTAATTTTAATGTTCGGCTTCGAACGCGGTGTCCGGCCGAATATTGAATTGTTGGGTCGGACACTAATGTACATACATATGTATGTATATATAATCACGTTTCGGAATTTTGCCAATATTCACTGATATTGCTGTTGCGCTTATACATTGCGGACATTTGCTGCATGCAATATAAGCAAGCGTCAATTGAAACGTCTTTTCCACTTTTTTTCGTAACTGACTTAAGTTTATTAGCATAACATATGCAGGCATATGTACATGTTCGTATGTATGTACACACATATGAGCAACTTTTTCCATTGTCCATTACTCGCTTTTGGCCATCGGAGGCAGTGTTGCCAGGTGTTATTCACGGAAAAACGTTCAAATTAGTCTGTTAACGCCAGTTACTCCAAAAATAATCAGAATATATACATACACACATCATGAGATTTATTAAGCTTTAAGTATATATGTGCACTGGCGATCAAAAGTGAGTGCATGGTAATTTTTGCTAAATATTTGCAATTTTTTTCAAGTTAAGTTTTTTGTATTTTTTTTTTTGTAAAAATATGGTTAATGCCTTAACCAAAACCATATTAGTCAAACTTTACACAGAATTAGAAAAATTCAACAAGTTTTCCCAAAATGTTAAACTGTTTAATCTGAAGTTTTAGAAAAAATTTTGGCATGCAGTTACATGGCCCATTCTACTAAAACAAGTGCAAGTTTTATTCGGCTAAAAACTCGCGTTGATTTTTAACAATCAATTTTGCTGACGGCTGAATTTTGTTTTATGACCTCCATCGACTCAAAACGAGTACCCGGTAACGGCAATTTACGTTTGAGAAATAGAAAAAGTCGTACGAATTAATATGGGAAAAGTGTGGTGGATGGCAAATGATATATATTTGTTGAGTTATGATTTAATTCCATCACGATAGTGATTCGATTTTCTCATACAAACTCTTCATAACGCCGATTCTGTTTAATATTTGGCATGAGTATGAATCCATAATTCACACGACCGCGAATATAAAATAATTAGCATTATCTCAACTTTCGACCGGTTTTGGCACGTTATTTTCGTTTCGGTTCAACTTTTGTTCTCTATTCCGATTCTATTCGCTTGCTTGCATGAAAAACTCGTATACTCAAAGTTATATCCAAAGCGATCTGGTCAGTGTACTGTTTTGGAGAAATAACTCGTGAAACAATACAGTTAACTAAATAAATTAATTAGTCTAGAGGAAAGATTTCAAAGACATAACTACCAATCTGTGAAATAACATTTTAGATTTAGATTTTTATAAAATTGCTTTTAAAATTTACCGAACTATTTGGTAAACAAATCATTTGAAGAACAACTCTCAAAAGAACTGGAAACGGTTGCGCAATACCAGATAATTTGAATCTTTGTGGGGAATAGGGGACCGAATTGTAATTTTGGAGGAATTTGATACCCAGGCGATTTTGACCAAACCTTCTATTTGTTTATAATGTCATATTTCCAAATTATGGATTCTAGTAAAAATATCTCACTACTGTGCTAAATGTTTAAAAAATTACTACATGCAACATTACACATTTTTCGTAAGTTCTAAGCATGGCATGATTTTCCTTAGGAAATGCCGCAGCCAGAGACATGAAGGTACACGACGGCGGAATATGTAATAGAGGCACTCGGGATTTGTTGTATACACCTCTTTTTCAGTTCAGTGTTCATTACTTTTTTTTCAGTGTGAAAGAGACAGAAAGAGTTACACGTGGCGAAGGCTTTTTCAAATTCGGTAATGCCCCGTTTTAGTTTTGCTTATGTGCACATACAAGAGAGCACGCTTTTTCTATCTTGTTTATGTTGACTTCATTACGACGTGAGTGTTAAGAAGGTCAAGGTGCAACAGAAAATAACGAGGGATTTTTTATGAAATTAAATTTAAAGTTTAACTCTTTGCTTTCTGAAAGGTAATTATTATTATTTTTGGGTATTTTTCTATTGAGATTGTTTAATATTGCATCACTGAATTTTTTTATGTTTTTTTTTTGGAATTTTTTGCATAGAGCATCTGAATTTATGCGGTTTTTGAAAATGCTTGAACGCATCCCCTGGTTTTGTATGAAAGTAAAGAAATTTTTTATGCGGATTTTTTTTTACGTATATATCGCATAAATAAACCTTAGTGTATGCACTGTATTCTGTATTTGTAGTATTTATGAGTTTTGGTGGATAATGCATTAAAATTCTACATTGCATTGCGTTTAGAAATTTAACTGCATTATCTACAAAATACCATAAATACCACATACAACAAATCCCGAATACCTCTAATATGTAAATTGTTTCATATCGATAATGTTTTGTAGGGCTGTGTGAATATTTGATTATTATAACTTTTACATATGAATATTTTTATTTATTTGTAGATAATTTCTATTGCAAGCGATTTCGGGTTGTACCTTTAGTTCTAATAGAGAGAGCAAAGCCCTATTTTACAATTATAGAAATGGAATGGTAACAATATCCCATCATACATTCATACTAACAGATTAACCCGTTTCTGCAATAGAGTAAGTCTAGAGAATGTAAGAATTCATGTTTATTTTTCCACTAGGATACTGTAAACGCATTTTGTATTTTATATTTCTGGTTCTACTAACACTAGTGAGCACCTACGTTAAGTTTATTTGTATTTTCAAATAGTGTGACGCTTCAACTGTTGTTATTATACTATGTCCCTACGAGGACTGCCAATTACGTAGCTCGCTTCTGAATTGCTTCGGTGAATTACCCCGTTTACACGACTCATTCCTAATTTCCTTTATTTCCTCCCTTTCTTTGTTTTGGTTTTTTCTATTCTCTCTTGCTCTGATTACTTAGTTCGATACATTTCCGATTAAAATTAGAGACGGCAGCGATTTGTTCGTAATTCGCATGGTAATTGGATCTGAATTACCTACAAAAGAGGTAATTCGCTCTTAAAATTTTGTATGACGAATTACTTAATTCGAAGAGCAATTGGGGCGCCAATTACGAATGAGAGAGCCAATTACGAATGGGACAGCGAATTACGTGCCGTGAGGACATAGTATTAGACGTCCAAAAACGTCAACGCGCAATAAAAAAAAAAAACGTCAGAATGACGATGAAAACGTCAACCTGGCAACGATGATCGGCGGTGTTACGTAGTAGCTACTTGCAGAGCGCAGTGCCTCTGCTGCTGTTGATTTCGCCTTTGCCGCTCTGCTCTTAATGCTGGTGCTGTCGCAAATGTTGGTGTTGGGTTTGCACTTACTTTTGCTTGTTATAACAATTGCTCTTCACAATATGACAACTGCAGCGGCAGCAGCAGCGATGTTGCATGGCAAGGTGAAATTGGGGATGGAGAAATTGAATTTGAGTTTTATTAAATATGCGCCGGCGGAGCCATTTACGAAGTTTATTTTTCTTACACCTTTTTCGAAAACTAATAGAGTGTGGTGTGCGGAACTCGACGCCATGAGACGCGAAAGCCATTGGCCAGTTTGATAAGCAGCCAATTCACATAAGATACATAGTTCGGTGCAGCTTAGTCTTGGTTTCTGGTCAGCAAATGTTGTGGATTTATACTGTGCATACATAGGTCGGGGTCTACAGACAACGACGACGACGAAGAGGCGACCGTCACTAAAAAAAAAAATCTAATAACAGTAGCGGCTGGTAACAATCTTTTGAAAATAATAATAGTTATATTAATACCAAATAATCGCACATATCAAAATAATATTATATGTTTTTCTTAAAGTTTACCAATGCGTAAATAAATGCTTATACAAATGATACTAGTAATCAGTCAGTTTTACGAAACCGGAAATGAAGAAGCCGTTTCCGGTAACGAATGATAACGCGGCAATGTTCTATCAGTTCGTCTCACGTTCGGCTTTGTCAAATCTGTATAGAAAAAAGAATACCACATGTATTCATAAATACATACAATCTTACATATGTACATCCAAACATATATGTATACATAAGTGTGTGCGTGCAGATGTGAAAAGATACATACATATTTAAACACATACTAAGCTTTTCACAACCAAATCTATACAAGCGATTGAATCCTTTTTGAAAGGAATTCATTTACAGTTATGAGTGTAAAAATTCAGCTGATATTAGAGTACAAATGTGCGCCAATATATATTTTATGTGTGTGTAAATATAATAACTGCAAGTGAATTCAAATACTGTAGTGGAATTCGTTGAAAATGTATTTATTTTTGATTTCGAGATGCACCCCGCTTCACTTAAATAGGGACATTTTTTCTTTAAGTACCCCGTATATGAGCAATTTTCAGTTAGTTGGAATTGTCGCATGACTCGACAGTTTTTATTCGAACACATAATTTTCGCTCCTTTATTAACAAATATCAGGTTACATATGTTGTGTAGTTTATGTGAATTCAAAAAAAAAGACCACCGTACATATTTTAGAGCCAAATATGCATATAATTCAGAAATAAAATTGAGAAATTTTCACAAATAAGTGTGTGATTCTCCTATATTTTTTACAACGCTTTTATTAACATACAATATTTTATGTCCAGACCACCATTTATAGCAAAGGTATTATGGCAATGTTTCTATACAACCTAGTCTAGATATCAACCTCGTTGGTAGGTATCATATCAAAGACTCTAGAGGTAGATGTCGCCTAGCTGAAAGTAGTTAAATATTGCGCCTAAACATATGCACTACATAGGCTACACCGGAAATGGACGACACGCTATTTCTTTAAATAAAATGAATTGCTGCTGTATGTATGTATGTATATACTAAACGTGAGCACAAAAAATTTTACTTGCAGTCTTCTCTCTCTCTGTTCACTGCAAGTTGAATTATTTTAAAATCTATTACAAAATTTTATACAGGCAAGAAAAAGGAGAAAGTAAATGAAATAAAAAAACTTTTTAATATACCACGCTTTTATAAATGGACAAAAAATTAGAAAATAATATTTTTCAGTACCATAGAATTTGTTTTGATAACTTTTGATTTTGAAATTTTAGCAAGTCATTATAAAAATTTATGAGATTGTAAATGAAAAGCGTGGGGCGCATGTAATAGACCTGAATTGATATGAAAAGTAAGTAAGTATGTATGTATGTGGGTATATGAATTACTTCCGCTTAAAATCGATCTCAAATTTGTATTTTCTCTGTAAAAATTTGAGGTCTATGTTATGTAGTTTTACTATTGTCAATTAAATCCACGTTTTTCGTTTTCAATCTCGTAAATTGTTTATAATGATTTTTGCTAAATTTCAAAATCAAAAGCTGTCAAAACAAATTCTATGGGACTGAGCAATATTATTTTCTATTTTTTAGTCCATTTATAAAAGCGGGGTGTATTAAAAAGTTTTTTATTTTATTTATTTATTTATACCTTGCCAAATTTGGTGCGTTGATTGCTCATGTTTTAGTAGTACTTGGAGAGCATGTTTTAGTAGTACTTGGAGAGCAAAGTTACAGAGCGAAAAGGAAATAAGAAAACCCCAAAAAAATATATGGGAAAATCTTTTGAGACGGGGATTTCAATTTAAAAAATGTTTCAACATAGTAGCACAATTTTTTTTCATAAATGGTGACTTGTCATCCCAATTGAAGTACATTATAAACCGCGTAACTAATATTTTTAATTGCTACTCTATTTAAACCATATTTTCAAAATTATTTTCTATTAGCACGGTCAAGTAAGATTTTCAAGGTTGTAGTAACTCGGATAAAGCTGAAAATTGGTACGGATGTTACGAACGTTATTATAAATGAAATGAGAAAAGTCCTTATCGATCCCAGGTCTGTAAAAAAAAATATTCAAGCTCAAAGGTCACAAAAATTGATGTTTACAATTTTTCAGCTAAACTGTAACATAAACATAAAAATAGGTTAGACAAAAGTGTAGACCATGCAATTATCTCTAAAACCCGTTATGACACTTTTTTTTCCTAAAAGTCACCATTTCTGGGATATAACGACTCGATCGACATACATTTTGTAATAATTCATTTAACTTATAAAGTACTTTGAATTGAAGTTAATTTTTTAACAGGTGGTAGTATAAAAAATTCAGTCAGTATGGCGGGTGCCACGGGAAGTTTTCCAACAACCTATAAGCAGCACATTGTCCTTTAACCTAGGATTCTTCTTCTGAAGAATTGAATAAGTATATTTTATACCTATAAACGTAAAATAAGTACCGCTCAACGAATACCACAAGAAAATTAACGTTTTTTTTTTATAAAATGCGCGAAATTCAGTTACAGTTGTAAGCAGCATTTTATCTCACATTTGGTAACTGGAACATTTGTTTAATATATTTCATTTTATTCCCCAGAACCTACAAATAAATGTCTGAAAACCCCGAGCTTTAGGTCTGAACGCTCAAGAGTTATACATTAATTGAAAAATAAATTTTGTGCGAGTTGCACTAGAAATTTCCTGATTTTCTCGATTTTAACATTTAAGCATTTTAGCATTTAGTCATTTAAACCGTTAGTTTTGTTTTGAATAGCTATTTATTGATATTTACACATATAAGTATTTTTAACGAAGGTATAGAAACCGCACTTGGCTGTGCAGCTGCTTTGTGGCGGCAACAATATGCCAGTACGCAAAATGTCCCGTCTCAAAAGATTTCCCCATATAGATATATCTACTTAATACCCAAAGGCATTTTTTGTCCAATTCATCAGATCTGCACCGTTCGTTGGATTTTCGAAAATGAGGTGTCTAATGAAAGAGCTTGGGCTGTAGGTGCTAGAACTTACCGTTGATTTTGGCAATTTATGTTCGACCATTTTTTTATTAAAAAAAATGCAGAGCACCGTCAACAAAAAAAAATTCTAAAATCAGCGGTAAGTGCTAGATACTTAAAATTTGGACTTTGTTATACTAAAATTTGATGGGCTACAAAACGTTGCATCACATTGGATTTTATATTCTAGTAGTTAAGGAACGCATGGGTGTAGCTGGATAGGGGCAGGGGCTCCGCCCCTAACTTCCAAGTTATCCATATATACATACATATATGAAAAATAGTACCCCAAAATGCTAGCTTAATAATGTCGAGCTTCCCTAAATTCCATTTTGGTTACATGCATGAAGGAACGTATACTAAAAATTTCAGATAAGTGTTCCCGCTTTAAGAAAATAAATTTCCTCACAAAAAAATCGAAGTTTGCGAGAATTGTCCATATGCATGTTGATTCTTAAAGAAATGTGGTGAAAAAGGAAAAAACACCATCAGTAGATTTGCTTTTTTGTGCATTTAAAAATGAAAAGAAAATTTTGCTTACTCACTTGAATTTCATTAAGATATTATATGGGGAAAAAGGTAAAATCTAATTTAAAAGCATACCAATAATTTTCCCTTATCTTCTTAATTTAAATATCAAACTTCGGAAAACTATCATAGAGGTCTATTAAAGTACTCATTGCTGCTTTTATCGCAGTGATCTCTTAAAAAAAATGACTTTGTTTTCCTCGTTTTTACAGCTGGTGTTGTACGAATCAGTGCATTCTAAGATCCCAGGAAAAATAATATGCGAAGGATGTTCAAACGCTACTTTTTACTATAAAAACTCAAGTCGCGATTCTTTACGTGGCACCGTTGAGAATTTTCAGAAAGTCGCAAAAAAAGGAGTAATTGACGAAAAAACAGTCACCACAGTATTTCTGCTTTTCTTTACTACACTGAGAAAAAAATCAACAAAAAATTGGTTAATATTACCAAATTCAAACTTGAAAAGGAATCAATGTAATTTTTGGTTAATATTAAAAATGCCTTGGTTCATGTTTTCAACAATGAATTGGTAATATTACCACACTTTTGTTTACATTAAACAAACTTTTGGTTGTCGATTTTTTCGTTTGAATACGTTTATGTTCTGCATTTCACGGATGCTGCGGAGGTATAAAGCAAACATTTGTATAATCATTTTGATACGTTGCCTCTGTCGGGATTAGCAAATAACAGCAAGCATCTCTACACACTCAGCTACAGCCGCTTTATAAATTTGCCTTCAAATGCTCAACTTAGAATCAATTTTCTTCGTCGTTCGATTTGGTTCTGCACTTCACAGAGGCTTTTTCGTAATTAATGAAAGCCAAAAACAGAAAAAAAAACAAAAATTATGTATCGCGCTGACGGCATTCGTACTGCTGGAAGCTATCAAATAACAGCAAGCACCTCTGCACGTTCAGTCACTGCCATACATACGAATTTGTTCCCAAATGTTCAAGTTGAATCACATTTCTTACAATCGGCTTAAGTATTAACCATGAAAAAATCGAACCACAACTTGGTTGAAAAAACCATTGTGGTTTTGGCTCAGTGTTGTAAAAGAATAAATCTGAGAACCAAAGTCAAAATCAAATTTACATGTATTATAAAATATTTTTGTTGCTAGAACGTTCCGCTATTGAATTTAAAAAGAAAATAGCCGGACAAGCTTTGCAAGAAACAGATTTGCAAACATACATAGAAATCGAGTTGCTGCAAGGAGAAGAGTTGCATTTCCTTTAAAAGTTTTAAAGTTGTGTTTTTTTAGTACTTACAGGAGAAAATATTTTTTAGTAGATGGTTCTCTTAACATTTCCTAAAAATATCTTTGAGAAGGGCAAAAGTCGCACATAATTTTGGAAACGGGTCAAAAAATCTAAATT